AAACCACACACCCCTACCTCTGTGACCTCATTCAACAACACACCCCTACCTCAGTGACCTCATCCAACCACACACCCCTGCCTCAGTGACCTCATCCAACCACACACCCCTACCTCAGTGACCTCATCAAACCACACACCCCTACCTCTGTGACCTCATTCAACAACACACCCCTACCTCAGTGACCTCATCCAACCACACACCCCTACCTCTGTGACCTCATCCAACCACACACCCCTGCCTCAGTGACCTCATCCAACCACACACCCCTACCTCAGTGACCTCATCCAACCACACACCCCTACCTCAGTGACCTCATCCAACAACACACCCCTACCTCAGTGACCTCATCAAACCACACACCCCTACCTCTGTGACCTCATTCAACAACACAACCCTACCTCAGTGACCTCATCCAACCACACACCCCTACCTCAGTGACCTCATCCAACCACACACCCCTACCTCAGTGACCTCATCCAACCACACACCCCTACCTCAGTGACCTCATCCACCCACACACCCCTACCTCAGTGACCTCATCCACCCACACACCCCTACCTCAGTGACCTCATCCAACCACACACCCCTACCTCAGTGACCTCATCCACCCACACACCCCTACCCGCCGCCTCAGGTCAGCTGAAGTTAACCTACTATAGCCCATCAGGACAAAGCTACGGACCTGCAGCCCCCTCTCACTCTGGAACTCCCTCCCCAGTCACACCCGAAAGGTCAACACTCTTGAATCCTTCAAATCTCTCAAAACTCACTTATGCACCATGAAAAATGTATTTCCCAACTCATGAGACATAATTCATTCATGACACATTATTATTGTCTTCAAACCTTTATTGAACTTAATTACAATTACTAAATAGATTATTAGCTTCTATTACATGCTGCTCCAAACTGAATGTTATTAGGTGCATATAAGTCAGAGGTTTGTACACAACACGTTCAGCCCCAAGGAGATCATATCACCCTTTGTAGGAAACAAGCATGTCTGCCAATTAATAAAGGCAAGTTTATCTATACATTTCAACACCAAGGCAACTCAATCTGCTTCACAAAAATATTAGAAACATTAAGACAATGTGCAAAAAAACCACATTATAAAATCACAATTGAATACATTTAAAAAGATTCATTTACTAGCCAAGTGTGAAACAGTTGATTACTGGGAGATTATTTCATAAAAGTCATGTAAAGTCACAATAAGCTAAACTGAAGTGAAGCCTTCTCTAGAACATTTAATCTTCAAGACAGGAACATGCATTTGTGGGATGAGCAGCAGAGCTGAACATGTGGGTTGCGCCCATGAAAAATGTGACAAATGTCTGTGCACCTCTCGACTCTTAAAGATGTTCTTGAGGTCGAGGCTGAAGGAGATCAGTCCCCGTCCTCCTTTGGTTCCTGACGTTCTTTCAATGATCCTGTTCATGATGCCAAATTGAGGTGGAAATGTACCGAGACTAACTAACAAATAACAATAAAATGGTGAGGAAACCTTTCCGTTATACTGAAATGAAGATTCTTGGAATAAGACAGTCTTTTAGGGAGTTTATTCTTAAAGAAGGTGAATGGTCACAGAGTGAAGCAGTCTGCAGCGAAGAACAACATTCAGGAGGTCTGCAGAGGGTCTGATATTCACATTTTCACACCAAGAATAGAAGAGGAGGGGCTGAGATAGATAAAGAAGATGAACATACCATATATAGGATTCTTTGAAACACACCTGCTAGCAAATAGAGAAACATCATGTCTACACTCCACAAAAGATAAGACCACTAACCTTTCAACGAACACATGGTGACCTTTGAACGCTCCCTCAGGATGATAACACTTTCCATTACACTCCACTCTTCTGATCATATTACATATTGATCACAAACATTTTGCATTACATGTGTGATGTTTAACCGTGTTGCATCCTAACAGATTCCTTATTGGGCATTACAAAGATAATCAACTTGTGTGTTTTAAAATATTGAAATGTTCTCCATATATCTTTATATATCTAATGACACAACTTTACATTTTGACACACGTTGAATGGAGTAACAACGGATGGTTTCATCTGATCACTCTCAGTGTTGGAAGATGGTTGCATTGAGCCCTTCTGACTTTATGCACTTAACTTCAGAGTACTAAGAGTATAAAATAAAAGCGCCTCAGTTGATTAGAGCTGTCAGACCAGTTCAGCCACTCCCTGCATTTCTCACTGATGATCTCAGATTACAATCAAACTGATGCCAAAAACTGCCACCATTACAAGGAACTCTTCATAAATCCCTCTCCATTTATCAGACATGTTGTAATTTCTTCATTTCCTCTCACTGACCTGCAATAAGTCATTCCCAAAGTGATGTTGGTGTTCTGCACATGTTGATGCTGAACCCTGATTTGCTCCCGATGGCCAACGGTGTGTGAGTGTGTGTGTGTGTGTGTGTGTGTGTGTGTGTGTGTATGTGTGTGTGTGTGTGTGTGTGTGGGTGTGTGTGTGTGTGTGTGTGTGTGTGTGTGTGAGTGTGTGTGTGTGTGTGTGTGTGTGTGTGTGTGTGTGTGTGTGTGTGAGTGTGAGTGTGTGTGTGTGTTAGCTTCCCTAGAGCATGTGGTGCTGCTCTGCATGAATGAGATGTGAATGTGTGAATGACTGGTAGTTTGTAAAGAGCTTTGAGGGGTCGAGGAGACCTGATAAAGAGCTTTAGTACTTAACATTTGTCCTGCTTGATGTTCCAGGTGAACGAGAGGAGTTGGCAAAGACTGGAAAATAGCTTTATTTATTTTGTTTTGAAACATGTTGGATGGAAAAACCAATACTTGGATTCATGAGATCATTGACTCATTGTTTGTCTTCAAACCTTTATTGATCTTAATTACAATGAATACATCGATTATTAGCAGCTATTAGATGCTGCTCAAAACAAAGCGTTATTAAGGTGAATATAAGTCACATTGGTTTGTACACAACTAGCTCAACCCCAGGGAGATCATTGCACCATGTTTAGGAAGAGATCTAACATTTCTTCCCGCAAAGGCAAGGCAAGTTTAACTTTACATGACTGTTCAACAATAAGGCAATTCAAAGTACTTTTTAATTTGGGCTAATTTGCAATTACTTGGAGATTGTTTCAGACGGTTAGGTTGACCTATGAGCGGTCGACCAACAGTAAGGAGGCAGAGGCAGAACATCCAGACAATTGTCAGCGTTGGCATTTATTTACACTATTCACTAGTGATGTTACGTATTGCACCGAGGCTTCGAAGCGTGTATCGAGTAATCCCCGAAGCTTTTAGTGAAGCATGTATCGAGGCTTGTATCGTTTTGGGCCAGTGACGTCACCGATGACAAACGAAGCCTCGCTGCCTGTCGATACCACGTGACTGCTTCAGGAAGTGCTTTAGATCGGTTGAACGGTTGAACCACAACGCTCATATTACCCATGGATGTATAATAAGAACCATATTACCCCTCCTGTACCCGGGCCCGGTGACACGATGGAATTAAAAGAGCTCAGACCCTCACTCATATAGAGGTCGGAACATGTCATAAGTATAAATAAATAAAAGTAGGAATAAAAACATGAATAAATAAATAAATGAATAAATACAGGAATAAATAGGGTGCAGTGTTTTCAGGGAGATTCAGTGTGTGTGCTGTGGCTCAGCTGGAAAGCAGTTGACTCATAACCGCAGGGTCCCTGGTTCAACGCCTGGTCAATAAGTCTTTTAGTTTGTTTATAAAAGCTACAGCTAAATGAGATAATGTAGTTAATAAATGTATTCTTTGATACGGTTTAGCCTTTCTCAGGCTACAACATGGTTAAGTTTACGAATATTATTAAGGAATACAAATCCCTCTTTGTTTGTTTACCAGCCTCCTTAGGCTTTTCAATCACAATCATTCAACTGGAATAAATACAATATTGTTAACATGAAAATATGATTTAATGTTCATTGTTTAGAGTTATTCTAAGGCTTTACTCATTGGGAACTCGGTATGAGATACAGCACACTGTTGAGATGTCCAATCTGCCTGTTTTACACACTTTGACCAGCAGGGGGGTTTGTGTTCAGATGAAGCCCATGATGAACCCTTTTGCGAACCAATTGGCTGGAAAGCTTCAAAGCTTTATAAGGCTTCATCTCGCCATCACTACCATTCACTATATTTACAACTATTCACAAGGGAATGGCAAATAGCCAGGCCTGCTGAACTCTTCAATTCTGGACAATTCAACTCTGCAATACCACCGACTGTAACCAGCCTACACTAACCCAACAATGGCACAAAGAGCAGCCTTTTATGGCGCATTTCCACCATGGCGCGGAGCACGGTTTAAGCGTGCCGTGTCGTGCCGGGCCCGTTTTTGGTTGCGCTTCCACTATGCCTAGTTCCGGCCCGGGGCTACTTTTTCACCTCTTTTCTGGCCCGACAAAATCGTGGTTCTATCGGGGCCAACAAACAGGGCTGAGTCGGGCTGAGTATGCTAAACTAGAGAGAGGAGCGCTGGCAAGGGGGCTACAACTACAACAAGATGAACATATTTGACCGTGATTTAATTGTAATACACGTTTCAAAATGATGCCGAAGTAACAACATACTGATACCGGTTAGTAAAAACCATGAATTAATGCTTTGACAAGTCTGCAGACAGACGGCAGGCGAAAAACCTATTAAAATGCGTGTTTTCTAAATGGAGATTGGCTAAGCTAACGTTGTATATGCTCCGACCGTCCACACTCACAACAACGGCCTATACAGACATAAATAAAGCAGCGACTGTATTCACCATGACACAGGCAGTCTGTGGTTTGTACTTGTTTAACTTCTGTCTAGTGTCTGAACAGATATGAGGAGCTGTGAGCTCTGAGGGCTAACAGCTAACGGCTGATGTTGGTTTTGTGGTTCTCATTGAAGATGACGTCACGGCTCCGCCTACACTGCGTTACTATAGATACTACCCCAGTTCCTAAACTGTAATGGAAACGCAGCATTAAAGTGAGCTGGGCCTAACAAGGCCTAACAAAACCGTACTAAGTCGAGCGAGGCCTGCGGTGGAAATGCGCCAATAGACCCCCACTATTTAGGAGGTACCATTGATTGGGGTGCTACAGTCAGACACGTGCTTACAATTAAGATGAAGACAAGTTAAACAATAACAAACATTACTGCAAAATAACAAACATTAAATAATCCATATATAATTCATGTATGAAAGAAAAACTAGCATCCCCCAGAAGATATACATCTAACTGTTATCCAATTACTTATTGTATAACTGCATATATTTTCCTGCGACCCAGGAATGCATATCCAATGTTCAGATGTGTTGCAAACAATGTGCTTCACCAATGAGGAGGCCATATAAAGGGTAATGGAGTCTGAGATCTATGTCACCTGGGATCATCTCCGTTACAGAGATATATGGAGCAGAATAACTAAATGCCTCTTCAATTACGCACAATCATTGAGCCAAATGTTAACCAAAGTGAAGCCTTCTCTATCTTCAACATTCAGACCACAGGACAGGAAGTGGTCTCCTCCTACAGAGAACACAGAGACACTGAGGAGTCATGTGACCAGAGCCGAAACCCAGCGTAGAGAGGTTCAGTGAATGTGGTTCTGAAGGTGTGGAGGTGGGTCAGTGTGTCAGAGGAGACTCTGTAGAAGGAGAGAGAGCCAGCAGGACGATCCAGATACACTGCTACTCTACCAGAGGAGGAGGTGGAGGAGGAGAGGAGGGTTCTTCTCTTATTGTGCCAGACAGAGTTACCAACACCAGAACAGATCAGACTCCAGGACTGATCATTCCATCCAAACAGTGACTCTTCACTGCGTCCTCTCCTCCTGATTCCTCTGTAAGTCACTGATATATCAACCCCTCCGCTCCACTCGACCTCCCAGTAACAGAGACCAGTCAGAGCTTCTCTGCACATCAGCTGAGGATAGAAGTCAAACCTCTCTGGTTGATCAGGATATCGCTGCTTCTCTCTCACACGTGTCACTTTCCTGTTGCTGTCAGACAGTTTGAGTTGTCTTTGTGCTGTGTTTGTGTCCAGTGTGAGTTCACAGGAATCTGATGGAGAGAAAGACACGTCAGCAGTTTATCATCAGACAATATGAACTGTACTGATGTTGTTTATTTCTTTGTCATCATAAGACAACATAAATCCACTTACACTTCCTCTGACCAGGTTTTAACCACTTCTCTCCACCATGGTCCAGTCTGGAGAAAGAAACACAGTCAGGATGAGTTTCTAATGCATTATAACATCTTATAGGTGTAAGAACAGGTGTTCTCGTGTGTTGCACACAAGTTCAGATATTTCCCAAAACAACAGAGATTTGATCCTACTGGTGGTTCGAGATAGAATACAAATCAAGTGATCACTATTAATGTCCGAAACAGAAGGACCTAAGTAGAGAACCAACACATGCATGATAAATAATGAAAATGATTTTACCTCCCCAATTTTAATGTTACTTATAAATGTTTCAATTCAATATGATTTTAAGGGATCAGTGTGTTTCCTTACTCAGGCTTTAAAACTTCTCTGAACAGAATTAAGAGAAACAAGAAGTTCTTCATGCTGACGGTCTGTCCATACCTGAGAGTCTCCAGTCTGCAGTGAGGGTCCTCCTGTAGGGCAGACAGCAGCTTCTCTCCTGAGTCTCCTGGATGATTGTAGCTCAGGTCCAGCTCTCTCAGATGAGAGGGGTTGGAGCTCAGAGCTGAAGTCAGAGAAACACAGCCTTTGTTGGAGACCAGACAGCCTGAGAGCCTACACACACACACACACACACACACACACACACACACACACACACACACACACACACACACACACACACACACACACACACACACACACACACACACACACACACACACACACACACACACACACACACACACACACACACACACACACACACACACACACACACACTTTATTAATTAATTAATTAAATTAAGCAAATAAAAGCTTACGGGGTAAACTTTAAATACTGACTTAAGAGTCTCCAGTTCACAGAGTGGACTCTTCAGTCCAGCAGAAAGCAGATCCACTCCTGAATCCTGCAGGTCGTTGTTACTCAGGTCCAGCTCTCTCAGACTAGAGGACTGGGAGCTGAGGACTGAGGACAGAGCTTCACAGCTTCTCTCTGACAGCTTACAGCCACTCAGCCTGAAGAATCATTTGTAAAAAAAGAAAAAGAAAATAAATTGTTATTTGTCATCCATGACATATAAACAATCTGTTTCATACTGTTTGTATTCGATTCATCACCTACATGGCTTTCCTGGAGGCTTTGACCACTGGCAGCAGCCTCAGAAGAGCCTCCTCTGAAGCAGAGTATTTCTTCAGGTCAAACACGTCCAGATCTTCTCCTGATGACAGTAAGAAGAAGACCAGAGCTGACCACTGAGCAGGAGAGAGATTATCTGTGGAGAGACTTCCTGATCTCAGGGACTGTTGGATCTGCTCCACTAGAGAACGATCATTCAGTTCATTCAGACAGTGGAACAGGTTGATGCTTCTCTCTGCAGACAGATCCTCTTCTATCTTCTTCTTGATGTACTGGACTGTTTGCTTTATGATCTCTGAGCTGCTTCCTGTCTTTGACAGCAGGCCTCGTAGGAGAGTCTGATTGGTCTGCAGTGAAAGACCCAGGAGGAAGCGGAGGAACAAGTCCAGGTGTCCGTTTGGACTCTGTAAGGCCTTGTCCACAGCACTCTGGTAGAGATGTGTTAGTTTAGGTTTGTCCATAAAGACTTTAGGCAGCCAGGAGGTTGTTGGTTCTTCTGCCAGCAGGTTGACTCCAGAGTTGATGAAGGTCAGGTGGACATGAAGAGCAGCCAGAAACTCCTGAACGCTCAGATGGACGAAGCAGAACACCTTGTCCTGGTACAGTCCTCTCTCCTCTCTAAAGACCTGTGTGAACACTCCTGAGTACACTGAGGCTGCTGTGATATCGATGCCACACTCTGTCAGGTCGGACTCATAGAAGATCAGGTTGCCTTTCTGCAGCTGCTCAAAAGCCAGTTTTCCCAGAGACTCCATCATCTTCCTGCTCTCTGGACTCCAGTGTGGATCTGTCTCAGCTCCTCCATCATACTTGATGTTCTTCACTTTGGACTGAACCACCAGGAAGTGGATGTACATCTCAGTCAGGGTCTTGGGCAGCTCTCCTCCCTCTCTGGTTTTCAACACCTCCTCCAGAACTGTAGCAGAGATCCAGCAGAAGACTGGGATGTGGCACATGATGTGGAGGCTTCGTGAGGTCTTGATGTGGGAGATGATGGTGCCGGCCTGCTCCTGATCTCTGAATCTCTTCCTGAAGTACTCCTCCTTCTGTGGGTCAGTGAACCCTCGGACCTCTGTCACCATGTCCACACACTCAGGAGGGATCTGATTGGCTGCTGCAGGTCGTGTGGTTATCCAGAGGCGAGCAGAGGGAAGCAGCTTCCCCCTGATGAGGTTTGTCAGCAGCACATCCACTGAGGTGGACTCTGTGACGTCAGTCAGGATCTCAGTGTTGTGGAAGTCCAGAGGAAGTCGACACTCATCCAGACCGTCAAAGATGAACACGACCAGCAACTGATCAAACCTGCAGATTCCTGCGTCTCTGGTTTCAGAGAAGAAGTGATGAACAAGTTCCACCAAGCTGTACTTGTTCTCTCTCACCACATTCAGCTCTCTGAAGGTGAATGGAATGTGAACTGGATGTCCTGGTTGGCTTTGCCTTCAGCCCAGTCCAGAGTGAACTTCTGTGTTAAGACTGTTTTCCCAATGCCAGCCACGCCCTTTGTCATCACTGCTCTGATTGGTGCATCTCTTCCAGGTGAGGCTTTAAAGAGGTCTTCTTGTCTGATGGTTGTTTCTGGTCTGTGTGGTTTCCTGGATGCTGTTTCAATCTGTCTGACCTCATGTTCCTCATTGACCTCTGCAGACCCCCCCTCTGTGATGTAGAGCTCTGTGTAGATCTGGTTCAGAAGGGTTGGGTTTCCTGCTTTAGCGATGCCCTCAAACACACACTGGAACCTCTCCTTCAGGGTGGATTTGAGTTTACGTCTGCAGACTGCAGCAGCAGTTCCTGAGTGGACAAACAAGAAATGTGATTAAAAAGTAAGTAAGATGTCAGTCAGCGTCAACAAAATACATCAAATTTGGTAAAGTGATTCATTTGCGCTATTTTTGGCGCGTTAAGGTTACCCGATTTATCGCGAACATTAACTTTCACAAGTTTCATATCATCATAATTAACTGTTTAGCTTGTTTATTAGTAATATACCCATACAAATATTTACAGTGCAACGTTTTGTTACTTCCTTAATTAATGTTTTAATAACCAATAAGCATATTCACTGATTAAAGACAACGTTTTATAAAGTGAACCTCCTCCCATCTTTCCTCCATCTCCTCTCCATCATGTTAAATGTGTTAAATCCTCTTACTGCTCTGCAGACGCTCAGCCAGCTCCTCCTGCTTCATGCTCCTCAGGAAGTGCAGTGAGATGTTCAGAAATGCCTCTCTGCTGCTCCTCCTCTGCTCTTCATCCTCATCGTCCAACTCCTCCTCATCCTCACTCTGACTCTCTAAGCATTCTGGGTAATCTGAAGTCAGGACTGTCTGGATCTTCTTCAGCTCGTTCTTCACAAAAGTGACAATGTTCTCCTCCAGCAGCTGGAACAGAATAAAATGTAAACTTGAACTGTTAGTCAACATCAGATCGTGTTCCTGCCTTACATTTGCATTTTATGTCTTACAGCTACACTGACGTTTGTTCCTACCCGTAGAAAATACCTTCTCTCGAGTGTTCAGCAATTGAATGTTTGCATTGTCTTCACAGGAACAACAAATACAATGCCTGGTAATGTAATAATATAATCCAGCATGAACACACACATACTCACATGCTGATGTGTGTGGCTCTTACACAATTCATAATAAAGACGTGATCCTTAATGATTGTTGAATGAACTTTTATTTTTCAACGTGGCACTTCTGTATTTGCATAATTGTATTCAATTTAACAATAGAGGTGTAACTAATCTGCAATGAGCGTTCTACATGACATAATTCATTGGTGAAATAGATATTTGGGATGCCGGAGAAATGTGTTTAAGTAAAAGCTCTCAAGGCAGTATTGAGTGGTGGTCATGCCACAACCGTGCATGCATGCGCGAGTCATGGTAAAATATCTGGATTAAGAGGTTGCTTTTTCTTTGCACAGCATGAAAGTAAGGATGATGAATGGGTTGTGACTTTAGTTTTTTTAAGCAGACGTTGAGTTCAATCATTTGTACGGCCCTCGGAGGATGTTGTAAAAATTGAAATGGCCCTTGAGAGGAAAAAGGTTGCCCACCCCTGCGTATATGGTTAAGCTGTGAATGGTGTGTGTGTGTGTGTGTGTGTGTGTGTGTGTGTGGTGTGTGTGTGTGTGTGTGTGTGTGTGTGGTGTGTGTGTGTGTGTGTGTGTGTGTGTGTGTGTGTGTGTGTGTTATAACTGTGCCAGCTGTTCCTTGTGTCTCTAACTGGAGGGAGCCACAGATCATGTGTTCAGACTGCAGCATGGAGATGGCCCTGTCTCTCAAATCAGACAATCCCTTAATTACCCTACCGTCTTGTACACTGAGAACACGCCCATTGGGGAACATCCCTCTCCCACTCCTACCTCCCTCTACCTGCTCCCTCCTCCTGCTGATCTATAAAGGCAGCCAGCTCACCTGTGGCAAACCCTCTCCCCCGTGAACAAAGAAGCTGCCTCATGCAACTCTTGAGAACCAATTGTTTGTCTGAGTAAATAATCAATAAGTTTTCCTCTCCTTTGTATTGTATGTTCATAGCAGCTTGAGTAGTTTACCTCCCTATTTTCTGTACCGTTTACACTGCATTTGGTTACTTTATTTCTACATTACATATAATTATGTAAAAAGATAACTGCTTTGCTGGAATATAATTTGAAGGATGAATATTATGTTTGAACTAAGATGTGTTGTACTTTCCTACCAGATCAACCAGACAACAATTAAGACAAGAATCAACGAATTACAATAAAAACAATGATCTGGAACTCCTGCCTCCATGTGCTCATCTGTAAATCCACTGCGTTGACCGTTTAGTCCTTGAACCAACCCCCCTCACCCCCCTCCATATTCTTCACACATCGCACACGGCTGCTGTGCCCTCACAGGACTGCAAGCTGCTGCTAGCTAGCAACGCTCTCGGGTGATTTATCAAATCATTACAGGCTGCTCTATTAACCCAATACGTTGAGTGATATGTTCTAAAAGTAAAAGCAAACAAACATGCAACTTCCATTATGTATTGAGTGGCATTGGGAGGCACTTATACACTTAAAACGACAATTGTAAATACAAAATAATGCATATTAAGACCGTATTGATCACAATTCAGTAGTGAGTTTGTGGCTGTTGTAGTCAGCAGGAGTAGCTATACGTCTACTCACCATAAATATGGAGTCCAGGTGAGTTTGATGCTGCTGGGCAGACGGACCACCAGGACCCTCTGATCTCTGCTGATGAACTCTGTGGAGCGAAGAGGAGGATTGTAAAACAAATACAGAAACTAAGAGTTAATGTGTGTGTTTGAGGATCCTCCTTCAAACTGGACATACGGTTTGAAAAAAGATGTCCATGGTTATTTCATTTTTCTAAATATAATACCATTTAAGAATAATGTGCGTTGGACTGGTCTCAGATGGTGGATCCTTATAGGCAAGGCAAGTTTATTTATATAGTACCTTTCAAAGTGCTTTACAAAAATGAAAGACATTAAGAAAATGGCATTTAAAAACATTCATTAAAAAGCAAAGATAATACAATAAACATTAATAGAAAAAAAGAAAAAACAATAAAAGTTACAGTGCAGTTTAAGCTCAGAACAGCTCAATTAAAAGCAGTGGCAAAAAGAAAAGTCTTCAGCCTGGATTTAAAAGTAGTCAGAACTTCTAGAGGTTTAGTTCTGACTCTGGGGACAGAAAACTGACCAGTCCCTGAAGACCTGAGGGTTCTGGATGGTTCATAATTTAGCAGTAGGTCAGACATGTATTTTGGGCCTAAACCATTCAAAGCTTTATAAACCAGCAACAATATTTTGAAATCTATTCTTTGACACACAGGAAGCCAGTGTAAAGACTTCAGAACAGGAGTGATGTGATCCACTTTCTTAGTGTTAGTGAGGACTCGAGCAGCGGCGTTCTGAATTAGCTGCAGCTTTCTAATAGATTTTTTAGTGAGACCTGTAAAGACACCATTACAGTAGTCCAGTCTACTGAAGATAAAAGCATGGACAAGTTTTTCCAAATCCTGCTGTGACATTAGTCCTTTAATCCTAGATATGTTCTTTAGGTGATAGTAGGCTGATTTAGTAACTGTTTTAATGTGACTGTTGAAACTCAGGTCAGAGTCCATGACTACACCTAGATTTCTGGCTTCATCTGTTGTTTTGAACATTGCAGACTGAAGCTCAGCGCTAACTTTTATACGTTCTGCCTTGGCTCCAAAAACCATTACCTCAGTTTTATCTTTGTTTCATTGGAGAAAGTTCTGACACATCCAGTCATTGATTTGTTCAATGCACTTACTCAGTGTTTGAATTGGAGCATAATCTCCTGGTGAAATTGTTATGTAAATGTGTGTGTCATCCGCATAGCTATGGTAACTTATTTTGTTGTTTTTCATTATCTGAGCCAGTGGTAGCATGTAGATGTAGAAACACAATCACTGATGAAAGTGTAATAAAGAATGATTAAACTTGTTTGTCTGTACAGACAGCAGTTATTAGGCCTTGGGGTTTGGACGCCCTATTGTATGAAGACTTGCTGGCGGCTGTTTCCTGAGGCTCTCTTCATCAGCTGGGTTAAGAGATGACCCCTTTCTTACTTCTTAATATGCATAAAGAAAGGTTGTAAACATTCTCTCCTTCAGATACTGATAGGACTCAATATATGCCATGAGTCAGAGAGAACACCTTACACTGCATCAAAGAAACACTCAAGTAAAAACAGCAACATATAAAATTCAGGCTGGGCAGACAGAAAAAGAGACATCAATGGAAAGCAGACTGGGGACAGGAAGTAGCATTGATAAACAAACCGGAGGACTAAAGTGAGTAGGCTGATCCGAACAGGACAGTTTTGAATGTGGTGATTGTGTCAGACTGTAAGAAGTGCAATAAATCTTCAGTGTCTGACATCAGTTTGAAGCTCTGCTGTGTTCTCCTTGTGGTTCAGTTCTTTGCTTCAAGAACTCCTTTACAATGTGCAGGAAATAAAATGCAGCTGAGAATGATGTAGAAATAATAAAGTTTTTAAAGCGAACAACAAAATAACTTGAATTCATACCTTGGTCCATCACTATGCTCTCCATCTTTAAACGTAAGAGGGTGAGGCATAGACCGGTCACTCCTCATAGAATCACAGCTGGATTCAGGAGAGTCTGGTCTCTGATGGTGGATCCTGATAGAAACACAATCACTGATGAATGTTCAGAAGATGCAACTTTGTTGATAATTATGTTGAATTTCAAGCGTTTGAATAGAGAAAAAGAAAAATGACTTTTGCTTTAAATTCTTACTCTGGACTATCATCATGCTCTCCATCTTCAAACGTAATAGGTCGAGGCATAGACCGGTCACTCCTCATGGACACACAGCTGGGTCCAGGTCCAGGAGAGTCTGCATCATGGTGGATCCTGATAGGATCAAAAACATGATGAATGCAAAGGTGCACTGAAACTCTGCTGAAAATGAAGCTGACTTTTGAATATGTTAATACTGATAAGATAAATAGTAACTTTGGATCAGTGGTTTCCATCTTGCAGGTTGGCAGGTTCAAAGGTCCTCTGTAGATTCCTGGTGGATCTGTTGTGGTGTCCTTCCTAAACACAAACACAACAACATGCTCATTACTGCTCCTTCCTCTCTGTCGCACACTGGATCTGGGAATGAACAAGAAGGGAGTCTGTGTAAGCTTATACTAAATCAAACACACTGTATTTATCTACGTAGATTTACAATGAAGTGTGTTTATCAGCAATATCAAGAATGAGAGAAGTCAATGGACGAGCGGCATACCTGCTGTGGAGGTTAGGGTTAGGGTTAGGGTTAGGGTTAGGGTTAGGTTTTGAGTTATGGTTGGGGTTTGTGATTCATGGTTATGATTTGTGTGCACTGGCCTATTGGTCTGTGGATGGGTGTTGTAATGTGTGGTTTGTGTGGTATGAGAATGTTTGGGTGTCAGCTGTCATTTAGCCCCCTCGGGATGGTGGTGCCCAGTTTTTGAATCCACAATTTCTCCGCCCTCTTCCTCTGCCCAATAGTCCAGCGGTCATTGGACTCCAGACCTGAGATGGTTATGCTGACAGCGGGATGGGACTGAAAGTGATGGACCAGTGGTGTTGTGAGATGACCCTCTCTGATGTTATACAGATGTTGTTTGAGTCGGATGAGGATGGAATGACCGGTTTCTCCAACATAGGTGGTGCAGGTAATGATGTATACAACGTTGGTTGTTTCCAGGGAAAAGGAGCCGAGGGTGGGGAAGCCAGTTTGACTGTAATGGTTGTGTATGAATTTTCTGGGGGCGTAGTGTTGGCTGTGAGGTGCGTGTGGTGCGACTATGTGTGTGGAAAACTTCGAGCGTATCAGTATGTTTTGGAGGCTATTGTTTTTTCTGTGTGCTAGGATAATCCTATGGTGGGTGAAGTGTGGGTGTTGTGATTGTAATGTCCGGAAGTTGCGTTTGAGGGTGTGATGTAGCCTGGAGGTAGTGTGTGAAAAGGTAGAAACCAGGGGGATGAGTCTGGGGGGGTCCGTCAAGTGGGGGTCTGGGTCAGAAGGGCGTGTGTGAGGGCGGATGTGGGGTTCCGGGAGGTCCACGGTCCCAGTCGGGGAATGGGAAGGGTCAGGGCAGGGGGGTTGGGGATGCAAACCCTGGTTAGGATTAGGGTTAGGGTTAGGGTTAGGGTTAGGGGTTAGGGTTAGGGTTAGGGTTAGGGTAGGGTTAGGGTTAGGGTTAGGGGTTAGGGTTAGGGTTAGGGGTTAGGGTTAGGGTAGGGTTAGGGTTAGGGTTAGGGGGGTTAGGGTTAGGGTTAGGGGTTAGGGCTGGGGGGTTAGGGTTAGGATGTCTAGGGGGGACTGGGGGTATGGACTCTCCCGGATGTTGGACCTGGGATGGAGACTGGCTGGTGGTGGAGGAGCGAGTGAGAGCAAGGGAGGCCAAGGTGGAGGTTTTTAGCCGGCGGAGGAACCGTTGGGAATACCCTCTGGTGCGGAGGCTGTGAAATAGAGTGTGTGTGGCATGTTCAAAGTCAGAAAATGTGGATGAGATGCGGTGGAATCGAATTATTTGGGATTTTATTATTCCTGCAAATGTATGTTTGGGGTGATGACTGGATTTATGAAGGAGTGAGTGTGTGTCTGTGGCTTTGAAGTATACTTTAGTGTATATCTTCTTATGTGTGTGGTTGAGCGGTTGGAAAAAGAGTGTTGTGTCCAGAAAGTTAATCTCATCTGCATGTATGGTGTGTTTGAGTTTTATGGAGGGATGGTGGTTATTGAGGGTGTTGAGAAATTGGGGAAAGGAGGTAATGGGATGGGGCCAGATGCCGATGATGTCATCCAGGTAACGGAGGTAGAGGGATGGCAGGAGGGTGCATTTGGCCAAGGCCCCTCGCTCCCACTCGCTCATATAGATATTTGCATATGAGGGTGCAAAGCGTTGGCCCATGGCCGTCCCGTGAATTTGCAGGAAGTGTTGGTTGTTAAAAGTAAAATCATTGTTGTTGAGGCAGATGGAGAGTAATTGGAGGATGTGGGAGTCTGGTCTGAGGTGATCCGGGTTGTGGGTGAAGGTGGAGGACACTGCTTGCAGGCCTAGGATGGTGTTGATGTTGGTATACAGGCTGTCAATGTCGATGGTGAATAGATAGGCTTGATTAGGGACGACCATGGGTCTGATCAGTTGCAGGAAATGGTATGTGTCTCGGATGTAACTGGGGTGTTTTATAGAAAGGGGGCCTAGGTGGTGTTCCACGTACTGGGAGATGTTGTAGGATGTACTGTTGCAGTCCGAGACGATGGGTCGACCGGGGGGAACCTCATAGGGAATAGTCCAGGTGGAGGGATCCTTGTGAATTTTGGGAAGAAGGTAAAATAGGCGGGTGCGTGGATTGTCGGGGCCGAAGAGGTAGTCTTTTTGTTTTGAGGAGATGAATTTGTTGGTGTAAAGGGAGGTGATGATGGGCCGAAGTAGTTGCTGTGTCTGTAGTTATATGGATGTTGGTATAAGTTTGTAATGTATCTCATTGTGTAGTTGTCTGTGTGCTTCAGTAATGTGTGAGTGTCTGTCCATGATTATTATTTTGGAGCCCTTATCGGCCGGTTTGATGATGATGTTTGTGTTGTTTGCGAGTTGTGTGAGGGCCCTGTGCTCGGCCCCTGTCAGATTGTCTGGGACGTCCGATGGGGGCCGATGTGTGCGCAGGGCCTGTAGGTCTGTGTGTATGAGTGTCTGTGTGCTGGTGTGTAGTTGTGAGGTAAGGGGTTCCCAGTTGGAGGGGTGCATAAAGAGTCTGGGTTGGAGGGGTGTGTTGGGGTCAAAGTAATCGATTAGTTTAATGCGTCTGTGGTACTGGTGTAGGTCCCTATGAAGTTCCTCCCAGTCGAATGCGGGGGGACGGGGGATGAATGTGAGGCCCCTCTGCAGTAACTGTTGTTGAGCTGCAGAGGGGGTGAACAGTTTGGACAGGTTAAGAAGGGTTGATGGTGAGTTCCACCCCAGGTCCGGGTGTGGTGGGTGTTGTGTGAATGGGTCTGTGGTGTGTCCCGGGTTGGTTTTGGGAGTAATCAGAAATCCAGTTGTAGTTGTTGTAGCCAGCCGCAAAAAATGAGTGAAGCTGATTCCGGGGACCAGTGTATGATGTCTTGTCTGGTGGTGAAGATGTCGTCTGAAATGCCTGCAAGGTGTTTGGCGTCAGTGAAGCGGGTGTTATTGATGATGTCCAGGTTGTGCTGATGCATGGCGGGTAAGGAGGTTGAGTATTGGATGTGTGGGAAGTAGAGGGTCGCTCCGGGGAAGACTGTTTTGGCCAGTCGGAATATGGATCGGAGTTGTTTGAGGGTGGTGCGGTGGGCATCCTGCTCCCTGTTGTTGAGTCCAAAAGAGAGGATGACCATTTTGACTGTGGGGATGGGAGCTGTCTTTGTCAGTAATTTCATAATATTGAACGCTGCTGCACCGGGGTAACTGTCCACTTGGATGTTGGAGTGTGAGTGTTTGGGGATTCTGGCCAGGTTTGAATCCCCTATGAAGAGTATTGGTTTGTTTACTTGAATGGACCAATCAGATTTTTTCTTTTGTAGGTGGTATCTGCATGCATACATGGCTGAGGAAGTGGGGAGTTGAGAGGTGTTGGGGGGAGAATTAAAGGGGGTGGAGGGGATCGGATTAGGCATGACAGAAGCGCTGGTCCCCACAGGGGGGTGAGCAGGTGGTTGGGCCCCATCAGGTAGTGTACAGGAGGGATCAGAGTGAGTCATATTGTTGGTTTGACCTTTTGTGACTCTGTTAGGGTTAGGGTTAGGGTTAGGGTTAGGAAATGATATTTGATTTTATATAAACAAAGTCTTGGCTTTCAGAATATGAAACTTTTATTTCCAAAATCACACGATAAATACATTTGTGAAGCTTGTAAAGAGAAGATGACAGGCACCTCTCACTCGCAATCTGCTCTTTCGCAGCGCTGCCCCCCCTCCCTCCGGCTGAAATTATGAATGTAAGGCGTATAGTAATCATAGATAACACAGCAGGGTCCGTTACAGTTTGTTTTCATCTGATTTCAATTAAACAAAGTCTTGGCTTTCAGAATATTAAACTTGTTTCGGCAAATTTAGATGATAAATACAACTTTGAAGCTTGTAACGGCATAATTACAAGCGGAGAACGGAGCAACTTGACGTCACAGCAGGCATAACAACAGCCGGTGTTTCTCGTGAGTGTTTTCCCAGGGAAACAAACACAATATACACAAACGCAAAAATACACAAACACACACACACACATACACACACACACTCGCGAGCTTCCCCCAGATCAGTAATCCAAACGGAAATATTTTCCCTCCGGACTATTTTGATAATTTGCTAATAATCAATCAGATCGATGGATTCCAGAGAAGAGGAAACTTTGAAGGCCTTTTTCTCAAAATGATGACTCGGTGACAGTCATTATATAATGTGACATATTTTGCTTAATATTTGGAGTACAAAAACAATCATGATATCATTAGAAAGCTGGGAATCTCCTCTTTCCAATAGTGTATACAAGTCAAAATGTGTCTTCGGGTCAATGCGACTGATTTCGATAGAGCAGGTCACATATGTGTGGATAACAAAATACAGGGTCAGTAAACCGGAAACAGCAGTATCATTTATTGTGTTAACACTGTAAACTTGACAGTTTTTTAACCCGCCTAGTGGTTAAAGCACCTTATTGCATTTTTTTGTTGAATATGTTATATTTGATGAAAACATAAAAATATTAGGAGTACATACAAATTAGCGGGAAAGTAGAAGGTCAATGATAGAAATATAGATGAAAAAATCAAGAAGATACTGTAAGTGATCTCTACAATAAAACAGTTTAGTGCCGGATGTCCAAAGATATTACCTTACCTATTATTATTATAGGAGGATGCGCACAACAGACAAAATAATTATTTGTATTACTTTATTTAAACATTGAAGAATACTTTAGGTTAAGATCTTCTTTTAAATAAGAAAAAAGCATTGGGGGTATCAACAGATAAATATTAAGCCTGACAAAGTACTTAACGTTTAATATATTGCATGGTTCGTTTTGGGACTTGACAATCAACTT